ACTCCATGGGCAGCAGGAAGTGTTAGCAGTATTTCGTATTTTTTTCTTGGCTTGCCAGCAAGAAATCTAGGGCTGTGCTGTTATCCACAACCACTTGGATCAACGACTTTAGCTTGCTGTACGTCTAGAGCTTTACAGTATTATTTGTCTTTATTTGTCTCTTTAGTCAATGTTAATAACACATCTTTGATAGATTTTTCAAGTTATATGACCCCCATAGTTGAAACCAGAGCCCTAATGATTCTAGCATTAAAGGGAGTATGTGTTTTCTCTCCAGGGAGATGTATGTCCCTTCAGACACTCCCAGAGAAGATGGTCTCCTGAAGAAGATGGGAAGGAAATATCAAAAATTGTCTAATTATTACATTGTTACATATAGTTATCTGTATATGCAAGCTAATTTTTCCCCCCCTGAGGAAGATTGGCCCTGAGCTAACATCTGTGCCAGTCTTCCTCTATTTTGTGTGGAGAACGATGCCTCAGCACAGCTTGTTGAGTGGTGCATAGGTCCGCGCCCAGGATCTGAACCCACAAACCCCAGCCCACCAAAGCGGAGCGTGTGTACTTAACCACTCCGCCACTGGGCTGGCCCTGCAAGTTAGGTTTTGATGAGGCAAATATTAGTACACATATTATTGGTTCAGGAAGTAAAGATTAGTCGGGCCACATAAAGTTGTAAAAACAAAGGAAGAATTACTTGTAAGAAAAGTGAGTAAGAAGTTATCTGGGGTACAGATAACTTACATAGTTAAACAAAACTTGCAACAATTGTCATAGGACTATGGAGGATGTTAGGCTAATTAAAATGTATAATTTTGCCCATGTATTTGTACCAAGTCCCATTCCTGAAGGAATTTGTATTTGGGTTGAGGTTTTACAAATTCTAAGATAGGCTTGAGGAATAAAGACAAACCAAGTAAAAGCTGTTGTAGCCGTAGATAGTCAAAGGGATAAGCTGAGTTTCTGCAAGCCTAATACATTCCAGAGGGTATGAGAAGGTATTGGATAAAGGATAAGGATAAAAGTGCTTTGAAGGCTACGGATATTCAGATTTTACCACTGGTAATTTGTGAAGAGAAACTTTATCTGAAACAAAATAAGCTATCTAGGATCTAAGTGTTCAAGGTCCAGTTATAGGATAAATATAAAATCACAAAAACTCATGTCAGGTAGCTCTTTCATGGCCCGAGTGTTACTAGACACAATTTTCCTTGAGGGGGAATATCTAGTTGGGAGGTGTAAGGTAGGGAGTTAGGCCAGGGCTTAATCAAGAGGACCATACCTAAACTGTGTAGGTTGAGGAAAAAGATCAGAGTAGGCATGGGCAAAGCCTAGACCCAAATGAGTTTTCTGTCAAGCATGCTGACAGATTCAGCTAGGCAGGAAATGCAAAATCAGCATGGTGTCAGCTCCTCGTGTCCCTTGTCCCTCTGGATAACACTCAAATCAGAGGCCAGATGATCATAGGCAGCATGAGTTACCGGTAGGGCACTCTGTTGCTAAGGAACAGTTGCCATACTAGGAGAGTGTAGGGTGGTGGGTGAGAAATAGCCTCGTAGCGGTACCTCCCAAGACTGCCTATGTTTGCATATTCTGGAGGATCACAGGGCATTTTGCCAAGGCTTACATCAGCCTGTGGTTGAGCCTTGCCGGTGGGCTTGTGTGGAGACATGCAAGGTTGCCAGGGCACCAGTACAGAGCTGTTCCCCTACGTTATCATCCATGGTAAGGAAGAAATGATGAGGGGAATTTGAGCAAAACCATGAAAATAAAAGTATTACAAGCAGTAGTTTCAAGTGTCTAGGAATGTGGTGTTCTGTTGGTGTTAGGATAAGCAGCCTACTTCTATAAAGTCTGCTGCTTGACTATGAAGAGATCCTGGACATCCTGACACAGTCGCTTGGTACATTCCAAAAAATGTCTTTTTCGTGGTGATCATACCAGCTTATCCTGGGAAGTTTGTATTCATGAGTAAGGTCTTGGTGATATCATCCATCGAGAATACTTGTATAGTCTTTTATTGAGGCTTTTGTGTTTCTTCCAGAAGACTCAGTTTCTGATCTGTAGCTTGTAACAGGAGCCTTTAGGCAAGTGTAAAGAAAAAGCAGAAACTACCTGTGGAGGTAAGACTGAATGGTTCAGGTTTACTTTAATAGCCAACAATATCAGAATGGAGAAAAGTAGAATCCTCTGTTGAGGCATATCAGCTTAGAAGGATTTAGTGAATAATTACCTCAGAATAAGAGCGTATCATGGACAGTGAGGGCATTGACTAATTTCAGTCTTTAATTTATACCATAGTATATTATGATTTTCTCCAGTTGTTTCCATTTAGATATTTAAATCTAGAAATAAAATATTTTAAAGTTTATTTTATTATTCTTTTAAATAACAGCCTTATTGAGATAAAATTCACCCATTTAAAGGATACAATTCACTGGTTTTAGGATAGTCACAGAGTTGCACAACCATTACCACTATTTAATTTTAGAACATTTTCATCAATCCAAAATGGTAGCCCATACTCATTGATGATCACTCTCCATTCCTCCCTCTAAAAAATTTTTATGCTTTAAGGAGCTCAAGTTGGAGGAGAGGTGGTAAAAGAAAGGATGAATGCCCATAGGTTTTGTTGTTGCTGTTTGCATTTTAAATTTTATTATGGTATATGGACAGTAAAGTGCACAATTCTTAAATGTACAACTTGATGAATTTCTACATATATATATATATATATATATATATATATGGTAATCACTATGAAGATCAATATACAGAGTATTTCAACACAATAGAAGTCTCCTTAGTATCCCTTTTTTGTCAGTTACAACCCTCCAAGAGGTGATCATTATTCTGACTTGTATTCTGATTAGTTTTGCCTGTTCTTGAAGTGCATACAAATGGAATCAAACAATAGTCTCTTGTCTCTGGCTTCTTTTGCTCGTAATTATGCCCATAAGATTCATCCAAATTGTGTGGAGCAGTAGAATTTTTTTTTTTTTGGCTTTGTGTTATTCCATTAGATCTGTAAAGCAGAATTGTCAATTCACCTATCAATGGAGATTTGCGTTGTTTACAGTTTTTTACTATTATGACTAAAGCTGCTAACAACATTCGTATGCTTTTCTTTTGGTGAATCTATGCACTCATTTTTCTTGGGCCATGAGGTTTTATAGTATTATAAAAATTTAGAGCTTTTTTATTAAGATAGTCAATGCCAAGCCTGCCCCACAAGAAATTTTCAAGTTGGCCTAAATGGATATATACCACATTGATTTTATAATAGAAACCAGGGGAAAATAACATTGACTTTATAGCCAGTTTAGGGTGGTATTCATGTGTCTGTTCACATCAACGGGTATCGATATTATACATTCAATCATAGTTAACAGCAGGGCACCATGCTAGAGGTTAGAGATACAACTGTGAAAGACAGCCATATATGCTGCTTTCACCAACCAATAAAGAAGTTATTTGAAAATAATATAGAGTGCAGTGATAAAGAAATGAGAATTATCAGGGAAGTGCTCAGGATGGACGATCTCACCTAAATCTGGATAGTTAGTGGAGGCCTCTTGGAGGAAGTGACATCTAAACTGGGTCCTAAAGATCAAATTCAGTTTAGCCGAGTGAAGGAGGTGAGAGAGTGGGTGTTTAGAGGAGCAAGGCAATGAGTTTTTAAGGCAGCGTTTTAGGCTTGGAGATTTGAGAAATTGAAAGTAGCTGGGTAAGCAGGGACTCAATTACAAAGGACCTCTTGGCAATATCAAAGAGTTCTGACATCATCATCAGGTAGAAGGGAATCATTGATACCATTTTTTTGTTATGGAAAACTTCAAACACATATAAAGAGAATAGTAGAATGAATCCTCATATACACATCCCACAGTTTGAGCAATACAAACTGATGACCAGTCTTGTTGAGACTACTACTTACTTTGGCAGTGGATTGTTTTGAAGCAAATTTGAGACGTCATATCATCACTGAAGATTTTTAGCAGGAGTGACACTATCTGTTTTGAATTTTGGAAATCACACATTCCTAGTAGTTTTAAAGTATCTTAAAAATGCACACACCATAGTTTGAGTGTTTCTCATTTGCTTCCAATCATACAAAGACATTTGTCTTTCTGCACCACCTTGTGCTATTTGTAAGTAGTTTGCATTTTTTCAAACTTTATGGAAGCTTGATTAAATATTAAAATTATTTTATGTATTTATCTTCTCTTGTAGATCAGTTGGTGAATTTTCATTTAAAAATACTATTAAGCATTTTGGCTTCTATAAGTATAAAAATGTCAAATCAATATAAAGGTTTGTTTCTAGGATTCAGCCTCCATAATAGCAAAGATACTAGTTTAGAAAGTGGAATTAGTTTATGGTTTTACTATAAATATTTTTCACAGATTCAAGTTGAGGAATTTACTATCCTGCTTTTGTAGCTCAGGTTTTATTACTTGTCTACATATTGAAATTTCTTTTCTTACTGAAGTTTACTTTGATGATAAGAATTAATATAGAGTGCTTTTATTTTAAAGCTATTTATAACTGTTTATGGGCCATTAAGTTAAAAATTCCTTCCTATAGTTAGAATGTTTGTTTCCTAAAGTGTGTCAGTTTAACTTTTTTTAAAGGTAGTGTAGTAGATGGTGACTATTGCAGTACTTTGGGATGGCACTGCATTCATACATTTGTTCATTTATTTGGTGAGAGTCAGTGATCTTAATCTAAATCAGATGTTGGCAGACTTTGGCTGCTGAGATAGTTTTTACATTTTGAAGGATTGTTGAAAAAAGAATAATTTGCAACAGAAATCATATGTCGTCATTAAATGTAAAATATTTACTATCCGGGCCTTTACAGAAAAAGTTTGTCAACCCCTGATCTAAATGAATATAACTTAAATTCTTGGCATGTGCTTTTTTTCTTTTGGAAATGTTTCTATAAGATTCATTTTAGAATTGACATTTGAAAATTAAAATTTTCATTGTCTTCTACAGAGAAGATGGTGAATTAGAAGATGGTGAAATAGATGATGCAGCATTTGAAGAAACACAAGAACAGGAAGCAAAAGAGGATGAAAAGCAGAAAAATGAGAAAGCCTACAGAAAATCAAGGAAGAAACACAAGAAAGAAAGAGAGAAGAAAAAATCCAAAAGGAGAAAACGTGAGAAACATAAGGTTAGTTAGAATCTACTTTTTATTCTTTTGGTAAATTTTTATGAAATATAAAATAATGAAAATTAGTATAAATCATTGCCTATTTTCTTATAAAACATATGGATTAGATGTTTTTATTTATGTGATTAATAAAGATTATATGAATTATCTTAAAGATTTAAAAAATAAGGTAACTTAATGCAAATTAAAATAAATGTTTGTAATTGATGGAAGATTGTATGCAAGGATGCTACAAACTTAAGGAAAGAAAGTTTCATTCTCTACAGATATGGATTGGCAGTATTGTCATTGTCTATCCATTCATTTATTTACTCATTTATATGTATTATGATGTGCTTGCTGTGGAAGTCTCTGTGCTAATTGCTAGGGGTTATACTAATGAGTGAAATAGTCTCTGCTCCTACAGAGATTACATTGAAATGGGAAGGAGAGAGGCAATACACAAATGAAAAACAAGTGCTATTAAGAAAACATTAGGATGCTGGATAGAGAATAATGTGGTTTGGCGTGGGGAAGAAGGGAAACATGCTGACTGAGAACTCAGGGAAAAGCTGGCAACAGTGGTGGGGTAGTTTTTGAAACTCCCTGAATATCCCCCATAAAAACAGAGTAATTCGCATAGCGAAACTAAAAACTCATTGGCAACATCTGCAAAAAGATGAAGTAATAAGTTATCCCCACAAATGTCAAAAATACAAATGGATAAGGTGAAACCACAGATAGCAAAAAAACCAGTGTAGGATCAGCAACTGCGCATAATGAAGCAGAGGGAAGGTAAAGGAACTTCCAGAAAATAAATTGCCAACAGGTATGCTTCTCAACTGGAAGAGTCCCCACTCAACATAGAAAAGTCTGTGAAACAAAATGAGAACAACAACAGAAATTGGGAGGGGGCTTTACTATTCCAATTCACATGTGTGTAAAACTGGATGGTGTTGGAATGTTTGGGCCTGTTGAACTCCTAATGCAATCCACCCAGATCTCTTTTCTCAAAGTCCTACACTGAGGAGATAACTCCTGGGAGTAGGATCTAAATTGAGAGGACAATCATACTAGGGCCAAGGAAAGAAATGATCAGATAAAATGGGGGAAGAGCCCAGGGGTGGGATATCTCAGAAGATATGTAACCGTATTTTTTAATACTTCATGCTAACAACAGCAGAAGTAACCCTAGAGAAATAAAGCTAGGAAAGCTGTCCTGGCCCCTGCCCCCTTTTATACACGAGCAACAAGATAGGGCATGATTACATTTTATGTAAGTTATTATTATAAAAAAAGAGAATAATATTCTTTCAGAGAAGAAAGAATACCCACAAAACATATGAAAAACTTAACCTAATATTTCAAAATGATAAAAAAAATTAAGAAAACAATATAAGCTATGATCAAACAGCATAAATAATATTTGGGGGGAAAATCCTTTGGTCATCTAGGCATAAAGACCAAGTCCCTTATTAAGAAAAGAAAATCAGATATAAAAAATTTTGATACCAACATTTTATGCCAGAAGATAATGGAATAACATATTTGAATAAGGTGTGAGCCAAGGATTTTATATCCAGCTAAATACTGACCTTCAAATATAAAGTCCTCAGAAAAACTGTATATAATAGAATTGAGGAAATATTGTTATTATGAGCCTTCCTATAGAATCTACTAGAGAACAAATTCAGATAATCAAAATGACTAGGTGAGAGAGTGAGTGTGACCTACATAAACGAAAATATTTACTTGTAAAACTAAGACTAAATGATGGACATAAGAGGAGCAGTGTATTATGTATCTCAACATTACAACTATTAAAAAATGTCAGGAAAAGAAGAGTATAAGGTAAGCAGGATAAGCTTACTGATTGTCTTATAGTTATTAACTGTAACTATAGAATAAAAGGATATTACTTCAACTTATTATCCTAGGAATGAATGAGAGAAAGTAGAAGAGGTTATTGCCTAATTTCAATATTGATCCTATTAGTAGACAAATAGTATGCAAAGAAAGCACAGGGACTAAGGTTAAGAAAAAGGCAGTATGAAAGAAATAGTTGAAACAAAAATACAAACCTTTCTAAATACCAAAAGGTATACCCCCCAACAATGCAAAATCCGACTCTCAGCTATGTACCAGAGAAAGATTTAAAAAATGGGTGAAGCTATACCAGCCAAACACAAAGAAAGAGAAGGCAGGAGTCATAATGTTGATATCTGAAAAAGTCAAATTTGAGTCAAAGAGGCATTGAAAGAAGCGAAGGGTATTTTATAATGTTGAAGTTATAATTCACAGTGACGATATGAGTTATTAATATTTTTTATCCCCTAAAACAGCAATTTTCATAAAGCAAGAACTATAAGAGCTGCGAGAAGAAATAAACAGGAGTACACTAATAACAGGAGATACACAGTCTTTTAACCCAAAGAGATTGATGAAGTGGATGTAAAGGTGGTCAGGATATTAAAGAGATATTATAAATATATAGTAAATTCTGAATCCTGAGAACACATCCTCCTCTCAAGTATACTTGGAATATTCATAAAACTGACCATATCTTAGCCTACAAAGAAAATTCCAGTTAATTCGATAGAGTAGAAATAGAACAAAGAGAAATCTGAAACCACAATGCAATAAAACTAGACGTTAATAACAGTCAAAAACCAAAAATGCCTTTCTGTTTTATAATTCAAGTACTTGCTACAAAGAGCCTGTGGAACACAGGGGAAACAGATTATAACTGCAGAATTTCATGAAAATAATTATAAAATATCTATGGAATATAGCTAAAGCAATTATCAGAAGAAAAATTATAGTATTAAAAGGTACAAAAATAGCAAAGCAAAACAAAAGAAATAAAAAGGAAGGACTTACAGTTCTAAGCAGAACTTAAATTAGAATGAAAAAAACAGTGGTTATTAAAAAAGATCAACAACATATATAAATCATTGGCCAAACGAATCAAGAAACAAAGGGAAAAATAAAAGTAAAATTAGATGTGTTGAGGCTAAGAACTTTCAAAACCATCAAGTACTGGCTTTTTTTCAACAGCGCTTCCTTTAATTTATCTTATCTTCTCTCACAGATGTATACTTTGAACATTGTGCTTGAAAATCATAACTAGATCACATAGTTCAGTAGATACATTTTACACTTTCAATGTTACTGAATGTAACAGTGTTGCTAAATTTTCTGCGACTGTATAAGAAGGATCTCCCCTCTTCCAGTTTTGATAAGATATCTCTTACTTTCCTTTAAGTTGCCTCAGAGTCCAGAATTTTGCTAACCATCATGCAAGGCAATTTAAGCTTTTGCTAATGCTCTCTTTAAAGTTCTTCCAGTTTCCATTCACTGCCTGGTTCCAAAACCACTGCTACCTGTTAGATACTTGTTATGGCAGCACAGCATTTCCAGACACCAAAATCCGTATTAGTTAACTATTGCTTCATAACGTATTACCCCAAACTTAGAAGCTTAAAACAACAAAAATTTCTCTCTCAGTTTCTGTGGTTCAGGAATCTGGGTGCAGCTTAACTAGGTGATTCTGGCTTAGCATTTTTCATGAGGTTGCAGTCATCTCAAGGCTCGACTGAGGCAGGATCCTCTTGCAGGTTCACTCATGTGGCTCTTGGCAGGCCACAGTTCCTCACTATGTGGACCTCTCTACAGGCTGCCTCGGTGTCCTCATGATGTCAGCTGGCTTCCTCCAAAGCATGTGAACCAAGAGTAAGAGGAAGGAAGAGAAAGCACCCAAGATGAAAGCTACAGTCTTTTGTATAACTAATCTCAGAAGTGATAGTACCATCACTTCTGACATATTCTATTTGGTAGAAACAAGTTACTAAGTCTAGCCCACACTCAAGAGGAGAGGAAATAATCTCTTCTTGCAGGAAGGAGTAATAAAGAATCTGTGGACTTATCTTTAATACCACCGTCCAAGAATAGATTGGAAAACCTGAAAAGAAAGGATATATGGAGTGACCCTAAAATATTACAGTAGAGTAAAGCCTCTGTTATTAAAGCAGTGTGATATTGGTGCATGGAAAAATAGACCAATGGAGCAGAAAAGAAAACTCAGAAATAGAGTGAATGCATGTGGAAATTGGTATGTGATATAGGAGCATCTCAAACCAGTGTGAAAAGGTGAACTTTTTAATAAGCGTAGTTGAGGGAATTGGGTAGTGCTATGGACATAACAGAGGATTCATTTCTTACATTGGATAAATTCCAGATAGGTCAAAGATTTAAATGTAAAAAAATGAAACTTATACAAGTATTAGAGTAAAGCATGAGTGAAGTACTCTTTTACCTGAGAGTGGAGAAATCTTCTTAACTATGATTCAGGGCCTGAGAACAGTAAGGAATCAGTAAACTTCTCTATGTGAAAAGCATAAAAGGAAAAAGGACATTTACTGTGTCCTTTGAATTGAGAATCTCTACTCCCCCTCTGCCCCTCACTCCAGGACCTGCAGTCCAACAGAACTTCAGAGTTTTGGGGCCAAGAAGCACAAATTCCCCACTGGGAGTATGAGAAGATTCATTTCTACTGAACCCACAAATTTTAGCTTTGGTTCAAAGTATACACCATATTTCTTTGATTTTGCATGAAAAACCAATTCTTGCATTAGAAAGTAAGTAAAACAACTGTTAATGAAGAGGGTACATTCTAGCATCCATTTTGCTGAAAATTTTTAACTACAGTTAGAAATATAACAGGATGTTGTACCAGTTCAGTGTACTTTGTTTTTGCTTTCAACCTAGGGCTCTTTCCTATTGGCTGCTCCCAGAGGAGTTTTTTCTTCCGTCCATTCTAGGCTAGAAGGTTATACAAGCTCAGGTAGGAAGGCTGAGATCAATGCCTTCCTCCTGAGATGCTGCAACTAGTCCTCACACCCCTTTGCCCTCAGGTTAACTTTATTAAACTGTCTCTCTAACGTTTGTTAATTTATTTGTCTGTAAACTCTTCAACTAGCCTGAACTGATCAGATAATACATAAGAATTTATTGGCTAATGT